TGCAAGTCAAGCACTTGCTCACGTAGGTAGCAATGTTAGCTTTCATATTTGGCCACCAATAATGTTGTTTGAGATCTAGGTACATTTTGTCCGAACCTCAGTGGACGGAGTACCTTTTTTTGTGGGCCTCATTCATGACCACGAATCTGAAACCACCAAACTTAGGGGTCTAGATCTGGTCCATGAGGTAGTAGGCTCCGTCATCTTTGACCATCAGATTCTTGTCCATCCCCTCGCAAAGCTTCGTTTGCGATGTTTTCCGGCTTCAAGGCTTCCAGTTGAGCCTCCTTGATCTGTAACGACAAGTAGGAATGGATGGTCATTTTCAGATGCTTTGCTCGGAGACCCTAGTACTCTATCCTACTTAGGGCATCAGCCACCACATTGGCTTTGCTCGGATGGTATCGGATTTCAAATTTGTAGTCATTCCGCAATTCAACTCATCGTCGTTGTCTCATATTCAACTCTTTTTGATTGAGTATGTGGTACAAAAAATTTTGTCTATGAAAATTATGCACTTAATTCCGTAGAGATAGTGCCTCTAAATTTTAGAGTGAATACTACAGATCCTAGTTCAAGATCGTGGGTGGTATAGTTCACTTCATGGGTCTTCAGTTGCCTGGATGCATAGTATATCACTTTTCCACGCTGCATGAGCACATAACCCAACCCTTGATTGGAGGCATCACAATAAACCATGAAGTCCTCAGTTCCTTCTAGGAGTGACAATACTAGAGCACTGCACAACACTTGCATTAATGTTTGGAAGGCATTCTTTTGCTTCTTCTCCCACACGAAGGGTACACCCTTCTAAGTTAATGCCATGAGGGGTTTGGAAATTTTAGAAAAAATATGTATGAACCTCCGGTAATAACTAGCAAGGCCTAAGAATTGCCTGATCTCGATAGGGGTTCTTGGAGTTGCATAGCCTTCAATTGCTTTGACCTTAGAGGGATCCACATGTATTCCCTCTTCACTGACCACGTAACCTATAAAATCCACTTTGCAGATCCAGAACTCGCACTTGGATAATTTTGCGTACAACTTCTCCACCCTTAGTGTTTCTAAAACCTATCGCAGATGTTGGTTGTGTTCTTCTTTACTTCATGAATAAATGAGTATATCATCAATGAATACAATCAAGAAGTTGTCAAGATATGGTCGGCAAACTCGGTTCATCAGGTCCATAAATGTTGCATGCACATTCGTTAGACCGAAGGGCATTGCTACGAATTCATTGTGACCGTAGCGGGTTCGGAAAGACATTTTGGGGATGTCTTCTTCTCGTACCCATAGTTGGTGGTATTCAGACCTTAAATATATTTTTAAGAAGTAACATTCTCATTGTAGCTGGTCAAATAGATCATCGATCAATGGAAGAGGGAATTGATTCTTGACGGTGAGCTTTGTTGAGCTTACGATAATCGATACAGATGCGACATGAACCATTCTTCTTTTTGAAAAAAAAAAAGACTGGAGCTCCCCAAGGAGAGAAGCATGGCCTTATAAACCCATTGTCCAGTAATTCATTAATTGACTGGAAAGATCTTGCATTTCTGCAAGAGCTAGTCTATATGGAGATTTGGCTATTGGTGTGGCTCCGGGTATTATGTCGATTCGAAATTCAACTTATCGTTCGGGGGGTACTCCTGGAAGGCCTTTAAGAAACACTTCGGGAAAATCACACACTTCCAGGATCTCCTTGATGTTCCTTTCATCTTTCTTTTTATCCACCACGTGGGCTAGGAAGGCATGGTTCTTTTTGTGTAAGCACTTTTGTGCCTTGATACACGAGATGAGACAAAGGTTCATACCAGGTTTGTCGGCATATATAACTAGGGTTTCATTGTTGGGTAGGTGAAGGCGAACGGCCTTCGCGTAGCACATAATATCATCACGGTGGGAGCCTAACCAATCCATGTCGATGATCACATCAAAACTCCCTTATGGGAACCGACATTAAGTCGATTGGGAAGGAGTGGTTATTTAAGGTAACTGTGCACGCTACGAATATGTCATTTTTCGATTCGGTTTTCCCATTATCCATTTCCATAGTAAATAGTTCATTTAATGATTGAGGTTTTTGGTTGAGCAAGTTTTTAAATTTATGACTCACAAAACTCCTTTCTGTCCCACTATCAAACAAAATACATGCGTAAACGTTGTTGAGGAGGAACGTACCAGTGACCACGGTGGGATCTTTCATGGCTTCCTCATGTCCTATTACTAGGACTCTTCCTATTCCTCCGGTGTTCCGATTGTTGGTCTTTGGGCAGTTTCTTTTAAAGTGGTCAGTTTCTCCACACCCATAACAAGCTTGACTTACACCAGCATTGGTAGGTTGATTGGTCTGTTGTGTTGGCGTTCTAAAAAAGGCAGTTTTACATTTTCTAAAACTGGTGAAGTGTAAGCTTCCTGTAAATCAAGATAATCCTTAAGTGAGTTATTATAACCATGCTTGATGTGACTATTATGACTGTTACGACGTTCTTTAGGCGTCGGAATCGGTAAGATATTTGTTACCCTAGACTGGCCCCGTCTAGCTGTAGCAAACAGCTCAGGTGTGGGGGTGTCAATCCCCGTATAGATCTATACACAACTATCTCGCTCTCCCTCCAGGAGACTATGGTTATAATGCAAGACTTAGAATGTACACTAGGTAGGTACGGTGAAGATAGTGTCTCACTAGAGCCTTAACGGATTTCCGCGAACTTTGACTCCCATTATTGAATAAATAAAATGACATTACTAGTATGAATTTATGACTGAAGTTTCATGACACACGATTCACAGGTTTCATGACTCGCTATTTATGACACGGGTTTTAGAGATTTCTTGACATGCAGTTTATTACTCATGCTTTATGAGCTTTATGATAGGCAGATTATGAAACGCGAATTTTTCTATCATAAATTATGTTTTGTATACCATTTTGGTTAAATTATTTAAAATACTTTTTGTAAATAATCATTAGTAAACATGTCTAATTTTAACATATGTTGTAAAAATAGCATAATATCTTAGGTTTTAAGCCATCAAAATAGTGATAACATAGTTATGACTATTTTACTAAAAATTATTTTTTGCAATATATCAAGCTTTGTAGTTTGTTTAACACACCATAACCGGTTTGAAAGTTTTGAAACATAATTTATTTTTTTACTCTAATAAATCACGATTTTGACAAGACCCATTTAATAACTTTAAAACTTATTTTATTCAAATATTGGTGTAAAGTTCAAGAGGTGAACATGCATATGTCCATGAGTTAAACATGCTTGAACATATGCATGCCATGAATTCGACATTTTTTAGTGAATAAACCAAGACCACGAAAATATTATGTAACAAAGATGTTAACATGATAAAAACAACACTTATTTCACGATTTTTAAGCAACTATCACATGATAAAAATCTTATTATACAAGAATTTGTTCCACTTTCAACACATAACTATGATGCATGCAATTATCCAAAGGATAAACTTATTCTAGCATACATGAGGCTTGTAAATCAGGATTTTAAGGTGTGTTAGTATGACATATTCAACATCATAAGCACAATTTGTTACATAAACATGATGGTGCATGAAAATGTCCAAAGGGTAAACGAGATTTGACTAATATCCCCCCCCCCCACCCCCTAAAAGTTTGAAAAACACAAAAAGATTGGGATATGAAGCTCACCTTGATGATATTGTGTGATAGGAAGAAGAAGAACAAAGTCGTTGAGCCTAGCCTTGCGTAACTTGAAGAGATTCTCGAAATTTCAAGTGTTCTAAGTTTCATACACACGAAAATGAGTGTGTAAATTGAAAAATCTTAACACAAACATGTATAAGAGAACTTTGAGTTTCACAAGGAACTTACCAAAATTCCTAGGAACAATTTAGTTGTGATGAGGCTCGAAATTTTGAGAGAAAATATGAGAGGAATTTCTTGTGAGCAAAGTGAATGAAAATGTGTTTGATGTGTGTGGGTGTCGTTGGCCGATCATATGCAAGAGAGGGGGAAAAAGGAGCTTGGTTACATGGGGGGTAAATGTGGGTGTTGCATGGAGGAATGAAGGTTAATCTAATGCTTGGTTTGGTTGTTCTATGATTCAAGAGTTGTAAAGTGGTGAGGTGTCACCACAAATTGAAATTCTTTTTTTTTTCTAGTTACCAAAACCGATTGTATTAATTTAGGAGAGGGGTTTTCGGTTTTAGGGTGGCCAAAAATACCTTATATGCTTAAAGGGTTTTCGTGCTTGGTGTGAGCATGGCCTTTTGGACTTAATTTTGCCCAATAAATGGGTTTTCGGTCTAATAAGGCCCAAATAAGGGATTTTTCGGCCTATGGTGTTTTGGGCTGAGAACTCTTGGGCGAAGACCAAAATTTTTTTTGTTTAGCTATTGGACCTATCTAGGGTTTACAAGAGGCTATTTCATCTTGAATCTTAAATGTATGCACATATGATCTCATACAACGTTGTAGTTTGAATTTCACTAATTTGATGCAACAAGGTTACATAGAGGAAATTGTTTTGTACAAGGACCACAATCTCAACCCTAAATTGCTAGTTGTGACAAGGAATAGTTGATCCTCCTGTATGTTTGGTTCGGGTCTAGCCCCGACATTGGTTTATGTTGGCTCGTGGGTCTAGCTGGTCAGTTATGTCCAACTGTCTCTTCTTTGATGTGTTCGAGCCAATGGCCACTTTAATTTGATGAGTTACCATCATGCTTAGTTGTGTTATAATGGACCATTATGGGCACGTCAACAAACCCCCTAGTCTAGTAATGATGAGGAAGCGTAGCGAGTCAGCATGTGCTAGACTCATAGACACACGTGTCATTTTCTTATCCGTCAAGCAGTTATAACCAATGCAAACTAGCCCATTTTTTATGGGAGTTTAATTTGCCATTATCTCTATCCATAAATACCCGTCTCCCCCATTGATAGGCCTTTTTCTTTCCTTCTCAGTATTCTTTTACTTTGTTCTTCATTTTCAAAGCAAATGGCTCTCCTTGTTAGCATGATTTCTTCTCATGGTGTTATTCTGACTTTTGAGTATGTTGAGACTCTCTGGGAGAAGTATGACTTTCAGCAAAAGGATGGAGTATTTCTACCCTTGGACAGAACCTCATTTCTGGAACCTCCTTTGGTAAAAGTCGGTGTCTACGCCAATACCTTTGATGTTCCCTATCGAGTTCCGACTACTGGTTTTCTTAACAAGGTGCTTCGCAAAAACAGGGACAACGTTTAAGAGCTAACTCCTAATGTTGTAAACAAGTTCGTTGCTTTTGAGATGTTTTGTCGATCTCGAGGTCTTCTTCCTAGTCTCCTGGTGTTCAAGGAATTTTTTCGTTTTTCTATCGTTGGTGACAAATTTACTATCTATACCTGGAAGCAGCCATAAGAACTGGAAAATCATTGGTTCTGGGTAGACATTTATTGATTTGGAGGACCCTACATTCGGACTGAAACGAATTCAGATAGTGCACCCATACTGCTTGGTCGGGATGAAGAAAATGTTTGTCATTTGGAAAGCTTTACCTTTGGTCCCGAGGAGCTCCCTGAATGCATTCTTGTTGGTGCGGGGATGAGCACCGAGTGGGGGCACCGTTAAGAGATATCTAAATTGTTTGTCATCAATGGAGGTAGGGTTTTTCGCATTTTGACTTTCTTGTTACGTTTCTGTACATATTCCCTTCCTCCATCCCTCTTTTTCTAATGTGCTTGGGCTGAAATTTCAAGGGGATTTGTAGTTTTGACCAATTGCTCCTTATGATAGCCTTCCCCCTCCCTACCATAAATTTTCTCAAGGATTCACTACTTCTGCTGTTTCAGTACCTTCACACTCGACCCTCGTCGCCGAGATGCCTAGAAACCTATTTGGCACTACTTACCATGCTTCCTCCTCCCATCCCTTCCGAGGTTTTGTAGTGTGTGAACTAACAAAGAGGAGATTTTGGCAAGTTCAGCATCCCGAATGATGAGAAAAAGAAGACTTCTAGGCCTTGTAACTCTTTCTGAAACGACCAAGGGGAAAACTGTTGACGACCGATGTCGAAGACGCAAGCTTGTCACCAGCTTCATTAACACTTTGATACCCATTAGTGAAGAAGTAATAAGTATCCATCGTGATGATATGCACCAATCTGAAGGGATACCAGGGGTGTCTAAGCCGCCTATCATGAACAAGGAGAGCCATTGTCGGTCCACAAGGGTAAGTCTCTTGCTACTTTGCAGACATCTGACTATGATTATCTCATTGTCAGCTTCCAAGGAAAGAGTCTTTATTTGAACAATATTTTCAGTCCGAAATGGATCTCACTGATGAGTCTTGTCTCTCCCAACAAGAGGTTAATGTTGATTTTCACGCCACACCTTCCCTAAACGAACCATTTTTGAGATGGAAGCTTTTACTAACGACCAAAAATTGATTTTATTGAATTTTTTTTCTACTTAAAGTGCCTTTTTCCTTACTGTCGGGGCTTGCCCCATTCGCTATCAAAAAAAAGTGCAGATATTAAGCTTTGTGTGACTAAGATGGGTCTCCAACAACACGTTGCTTCTCTGGAGTCCATAGTGGAGTTTTCTCTCCAAAAATTGGAGTTGTTAGCTGGTAAGAAAATAACCTATAAGGAGAACTATGCTCAAGTGGATACAAAACTTAATCACACCCTCCAGCAGAATGGTGCCTTGAATATCCGGGTGGAGAGTCTGGAGAGAGAGTTGTTGGATAAGGAAAAATTGTTGCTTGACCGTGAGGCAGAGCTGTATCATCTTGGGAATGATTTGTACTAGCTTGTCAAGGATGGAATTATAAGGATTGTTGAAAAAATTATTAAGCTTCCATATTTTCTATGGTGTAGGACGTATTAAGAACATGTCCTTTGCTGCTGGTGAGGAGTTTGGCAGAGAGGCATTGCTTAAGGTTTTGGTTGTTGGGACGTTTAATCCTAATGTTGCTAGTTCCAACTCAAGCCACTCGGGGGAGATGGTTGATTAAATTGACTCATTAATATCTTATGATTGTGCTTCCATGATGAAGTTGGGCTACCTTGATATTGATGGCATTCTCCAGTTGCACATAGATGACGATCATGGAGGAGTAGTTCCTAGCAGCAATGCCAAGATCACATTCTTCGTAGGAGGAGTCGGTAAATGAATAACCTTTCTTTCTTTTGCGACTTATCCCTATTGTGATTCCCCAAAATAGGTGTGAATGAACATTTTGCTCTTTTTTTTGCCCTATGTGGCTTTGGTTTGCCAGGTTTTGGCATGTAATAGAACAATTACATTTCTCCTTTATCATGTTATGTATGTTGTTTTCTCACTCTTTCTCTTTGCGTGCTTATTTCCTTTATTGTGGAATTGATTGTTTGATCCATATAATTCTTCCCTGGCAGTGGTTGTAATCCTTTTAAACTACGTCGAGACTAGGTTGCTTGTTATCTCGGAGTTGGGTATTTGAACCATTCAACTCTTTCTGGGCAATGGTTGCAATCCTTTGAGCCAAGGAAGGACTAAACTATTTGTTGTTGTACGGAGTTGGTTATTTTATCTATTGAACTCTTTCTTGGCAAAGGTTGTAATCCTTTGAGCGAAGGCAAGACTAAACTGCTTGCTATTGTATGAAGTTGGGTATTTGAATCGTTCAACTCTTTCTTAGTAAAGGTTGGAATCCTTTGACCCAAGGCAAGACTAAACTGCTTGCTGCTACATGGAGTTGTGTATTTGGACCATTCAACTCTTTCTTAGCAAAGGTTTCAATCCTTTGAGACAAGGAAAGACTAAACTTCTTGCTGCTATATGGAGTTGGGTATTTGAATCGTTCAACTTTTTCTTGGCAAAGATTGTAATCCTTTGAGTCAAGGCAAGACTAAACTGCTTCCTACTATATGGAGTTGGGTATTGGAGCCATACAAATATTCCTGGGCAAAGTTTGCAATCCTTTATACCAAGATAATGATGGAAAAAGATATTTATAATATTAGAAAGACAATTAGCTAGGGTGATCATGTTTGATAAGGTGTCTAAGTCCACAACTATATTTTGTATGTACTTGACCCGATTTAGCATGGTCCATTTGGGTTGCATTTCACCAGAACAATTTGTAAGGATGGAATTTAGAGAAGAAGTTATGATTTATTAATATATTATAAGTTCTAATATATTAATATGAAATCATATTATTTAATTAGTATTGATCAAGAATTAATTTGGAATTAATTTTTTGATCGAAAGAGACTAATTAAATATGTGGTGATTGATTGTGTAAACCATTCATTCTTATAAAGTGGGTTTATGATCCATAGTTCTTTATGTTGGGCTAAACCCATGTGGTCACCCATGTATACTCCATGGAGATTATAACCCATGGAGCCTAAGCAATGTGGAAAGTCATGCACATTAGGACTTGCATGGTGTAACCCTAATTGTGTCACACTATATAAGAACTCTTCTAGCATAGCTGATTTTTGTGTGCAAAGATACTCTATCTCTTAAGTATTCTAATTTTGTGTGGTACTTGTGGCTCCATTTAAGTCATTCACATTATTGGTGCTAGGCTCTTAAAGCTCCAAGTAACAAGCTACAAGAAAGGTATGTTGTCTGACTAGTTTTATTATACAAGTATTAAAGTTTTGTATGCTAGTTAGGGTAATGCTTTGGAAAATCAAATTGCATGTATAATTAGATAAAACATAGATCCAAAGCATTTAGGGTTGTATGTGCACCTTAAGGTTGTTAGAGTGCTCAAAACCCATCAGTGGTATCATAGCCTAGGATTGTTTTCCATTATACTTGATGCTACTTGTTTTCAAAGCTTGACAAAATCGAGTTTTTGCTTTCTGGACAGCATACTTGCTGAGTCCACTGACATACTCGCCGAGTCACCCATTTAAACTGACCAACTCGTCGAGCCAGTTCATGCACTCGATAATTTGGTGCTTTAGAATGCAGATTCTCGAGTTTTAAAGCTGGAATTGGACTAGAATCATTACCATAAACTGTTTTTGAACAAATAGACCTGTTTTTGATGTGGTATTGATTACGATTATCGAATTTCAAAGATAATTGTCAAATTTTCATGTTTTATATTAGTTTATCAAATTAGGCTAATTTCATGAAATTTGTTTGATATGAATTATCTTTTTCATATGAGTTTAATTGAATCATGTAGGAATTATTTGATTATTGTGTTAATTAAAGTAATGATCTAAATGATTTAATGGACTCCATAATTTGTCCTCAAGTTATGGAATTCCAAAATTCTTTTCTTTCAAAGAGTCATTAAACTCATAGGTTATAGAAAATGAAGAGCCTCATTTTAAAAGGCCATTAAACTTAAATGTTATGGAGATGAAAAGTTTTGAAGAGTTTCAAAACTTTCCCTCAAGTTTTGGAATTTGTAAAGTCACACACATTGATACTTTAATTCCAAACCCTAGAATTTTAAAAGTTTAAAATTCAACCCTTATACTATTATAATATTATAAGTTTAATTATATATATATATATATATATATATATATATATATATATATATATATAAGAATAAGTCAGTCTTACCGTTAGTAGGCCTCACTCACGAAGTCGGTCTATAAGAGGGGTATAAGGTTACTGCCTATAAAATGGTAGTTTAATAGGTGCCATTCTCACCCACCGCTTCCTTGATTGGTGGAGGATCGTTATCCGAACAGGTAGGATAGGACACTAACTTATCATTAAGTATAATGGTAATTATAAAGTAACTAAATGTTTTATAAATTCCAAATTTTAGTTACTTTAGGAAAAATGTGAAATTAATGCTAGCCCATGAAATTACACTTTGCACTTTACCAAGTCGTTACTGGAGCGTGTGTGGTTAATCGACAGACTAACATGGACAAGTAAGGGTGGAAAAGGGTGGCTTAATGTTTGTCATAGATCAATGGAGCGTGTGTGGTTAACCATCACATCGATTAGGTGATAAATGACATTAAGAGTACCAAGTATATGTGCATGGTTATTCACACCTTCTTTGTGATCCTCGGTATCCCACTCACAAACTTGAAGGGCATAATCGAGATTTAAAGATGCCATTAAAAAGTTCAATGAATCTCAAAAGAATCTAGGAATTTCAATTCATGTAACACCTAATAATCAATTTTGTTTTTCATGGTTGATTACGACATCCCTCTTCCAAATTGTAAAAATATTGTGTTGGGACATAGCCTTAATATTTTATTTGGGTGTTATAATAAGGACTCTTATCTAATATAAACTTTGTTCTATTCTTTTCTAGACATCTTCCAACAATGCTTCTGGCTCAAACCCTACCGGCTCTTTCTCTCTCATGAACCTTTGTGGGATAGTCATCTTCGATGATACTAATTTCAATGATTGGATTAGGAACATCAGGATGGTCTTTCGTTATGAGGACAAGGAATATGTCGTAGACAAAGAGCTTAAGGTTATTGATGAGTCTTCTGCTACTCCTGAGGAGATTTATGAGTACACTACCCATGAGAAGGATGCCATTAAGGTGTCTTGTATCATGCTGGCAACTATGACAACAGAACTCCAAAAGTCCTATAAGGATTTCTATCCTTATGAGATGCACTAAGACCTGATGGAAAGATACCATTAGAGTGCTCGTCAAGAGAGGTATGAAATCATCACCTCCATGATATCAACTAAATTTAAGGATGGAGAGTCCATCACGATCCACTTACAAAAAATGCAAAGGTTTGTGGACCGTCTGCTGAAGTTGAATGTGAACTTCGATTAGTAACTGGCCATAGATATTATTCTACATTCTCTGCCTCCCTGTTATGATCAGTTTCGTATGACTTATCATATGAAAAAGGAGGAGGTCACCCTCAGCAAGCTTTAGGGACTTTTGAGTACTACTAAAAGTAGTCTCAAATGTAAGAATGTTATTACCACTCCTACTACTGCCCTAGTTCTGGCAACCAGGCAAGGCAAAGGGAAGAAGAGGAAGACCCCTTCCAAGGGTCACAAGGGAAAGTCTCTTAATGAGTCCTCTTCTAGTAGAACTAAACTTAGTCCTGCTACTCCCTCCAGCAACCCAAAGGAAGCAAAGTGCTTCTATTGTCATAAAAAGGGGCACTAGAAGCGAAGTTGCCCCAAGTACTTGCAGGATGTTAAGGATAAGAAAGTAAAACCCACCCATGTGTAACAGCCAGATTTCCAGGTATCTTTTATGTTTATGATTTTGTTATTCTGAGAGGGGACTCGGCGAGTTGGAGCTCAGACTCATCGAGTAGGATCGTGGATCTGGTCGCGGGATCGCGCCTGGACTCGGCGAGTCCGCGCTGTGTAATGAAACCCTAATTTCTCGGGTTTGGGACCTATTTAAAGGGCCTTATGGCCGTCATTTGTGCTCACTAATCCCTTGAGTGAAACCCTAATCGAGTGTGAGCGTTTTGAGCAATGTAGGAGGCCATTATTGATCTTGGAGGTGTCATTTTTGCAAGGAAAGGGAGAACCAGCTAAGGGAAAGCAAGTGGAGCCATTTTCTGAGAGTTTGGAGTCCAGAGCATCACTATTGTGGTAATATTTTCGAGCTATCCTTTTCCATGTTGATGTTCATTTTGATTTAGGGTTTGTTGAACCCTCTTGTGGCTAGATCTAGTGCTCCCTTGGTCCCTTAAGCGATTTAAACCATAGATCTGGACCCTTGGAGGTCCAGAGTGTCCCTTTGCCCAAGCTTTTTGCGAATCAATGGAGGTTTTGGATTGGAATCATTATGCCTTAGGTCAAAATGCTATTTATGAGCCATGGGGTGTGTTATGGACACCAACCTAGGAGCCTTACGTGATGAATCAGTCTAGGAAGGCCAGATCTATAAATTGTGGGAGCAGATCTGACCTTAGAAGCAAGTTGGAGTGGTTGCATGGCATGGACTCGCCGAGTCCGATGAACAGACTCGGCGAGTAGTTTGAAGATTGCCTTGAGTTCGCTCAGTGAGTGGTCCAGTCGAGTCATAGGCTGTCTCAGTGAGTCAGGGTGAGTTAGAGAGGGTCGACAGGTGGACTGAGTTGAACTGGGACTCGTCGAGTTGTTCTTAAGACTCGGCGAGTTGAGTCGGGGTGGCCCCGCGATTCTTCCAGGTGGAACTCGTCGAGTCAGGGGGAGTACTCGACGTGTAGGAAAGGAATC